AAGTTTTCTTTTCATAACATATCAAGAATGAATAGTGAATGGAATAAATAGCACTGGTCTAACACCTTAGGGTAGAAAGAAATCAGTACATACAAAAATAGTTTTAACAAGAACAGATTTAGCCATGGGAATAAACTTTGATGCTTTCCTGATGATGATGATGAAGGCTATACCTTTAAAAACCAGAAAAGACCCCTCACCGTGTCTAACAAGTCTGTGTGAACTGATGTGAGGTTTTTCCTTCCAAGGGCCCTCCCTCTAGTGTTGTGGCACGAGAATGTGATTGAACCGGTTTGACCAAGAGACTATAGGTCCAGGATGCTTTTAATTCACTTCCTTCCGAAGAGCTGTGTTGTAGAAATGGAGACTTCAGAAAAGTCAGGAAGGCGACTAAGAAAGTCCATCTGGAGGGGAAATGCAGAGCCCGTGTCCTAACTCCCCAATCCTTGATGGTTCTTTGAGAATATCCAGTGTGTCACCCTGCTGAGGAGCCAAGGACAGCAGCACGAGGGCAGAGACTCTAGCCTTGTTTCCATACTTGGAAACAGTTCAGCAAGGGGCCGGGGCTCTGTAAAGTATAGGGAAGAAGGGACACAGTCCAGTAGAACCTTGACCTTGAGATAGGAACGCCAGTCCCTGCAAGAGCAACCGCAGGGAGGCTACTGCTTGGTAAGTATGCTGTTCCGTGGCGTGCTATCGCCATGCCCTGGACACTTTCATAGCTGAGAAATGGTAGCCTGTCCAAGCAATGGGAATCTTCCAGTCACCAAAGACTCTGCTTCTTAGCTGTGTTACAAAAATGATGTCTTCCCGTGGGTCACGTTACAACTGATGTAAAAACATCTGCCATCACCAGAAGCTGCGAGTGCAGAGCTGAGTCAGGACCAAGGCAGGAGCTCAATCTTCGCCTGGACCGTGAGCACTGCTGAGGCTTCAGAGAACAAGGTGACCAGGCACCAATACGTGACTGCTCTGCAGGAGCAAGGTCAATGGCGGGATGTGTGCCACCTAGAGAAACCTCCACTAACCTGGCATCCGGTTTGGAACTGAAAAGCACCTACTTTACTTTCTGTTGATTTTTAAACCACCCCTACAGGTTATCTGAAGAGTAATGTGGGAAGGAGGAGAAAACTGAGAATATGGTTCTGACCACGGAGGAAGCCCAAACGCCCATGTTTATCCTTCTTGTAAATCATCTTTTAATGATGGTGAAAGTCATGGTGAAATTAGGTCATTTTAGGGCTGGAGAGATGGCTCAGAGGTTAAGAGAACTAGCTGCTCTCCCAGAGGACCCAGGTTCACTTCCCAGCACTCACATGAAGCTCACACCTGTCTGTAACTCCAGTTCCAGAGGATCCAACAACCTTACACAAATATACATGCAGGGGGAAAAAGTAACCATTAAAAAAAAAGTAAAAAAAAAAAGCTAAAAAGGAAATTAGGTCATTTAAAAAGAACTAATTAAAAGGTATTGCACACGCAGGCTACAGAACACACACAAGGTTCTTGCTGGAGATACGGGGGGCTGGTTTACTGAACTCTGGGAACGGTCTTTGTGACCACAAGCTAGTGCTTCAAACCCTGGCCCTGCACAGTTCTGGGCAAGTTTCTCAGCTTCGGTCCCAACTGTGGGAAGAGAAACCAGTAACCTGGCCTGGGCAACTCGGCTTTGGACAGAAGCAGGTCATGGCCTCTAGCATCCTTCTTAGTTAGATCTCTAGGACCTCCGACTTCATCAGCTTTATAAACAAGATTTTCCCAGTATCTCCTCGAGGATTACAGCAGTGCCCTGTATTTTGTAATCGGTGAACAATAATAGGCCCTGGCCCTGACCCCTGAATTCCCCATGCCAATCTTCCAGCCAGTGCTCCCTCTTGGGAAAGCCCGGGAGCCAAGCTTAGTAACAAGATTATACCCGTTTCTTCAGTTCCCACCTTAAAGGCATGAAGACAAAGCTTCCTCCTTCTCGCTGGGCTGAAGTGGCCTTTAGGGCAGGACAGAGCTGAAGGTCAGTGCCTCATGTATTCCGGAGCTGTCCTTTGGAACCCCTTCTGGAGTTTCCAATGTCAGTATGGGCTTGGCCTCCCCACCAGAAGCAAGGCCAAGGGGATGGGCAGTGCAGCCTCAGCCCGAGCCCCAGGCAGGGACACACACTCCTGTCTAGACTGGCGGGCCTTCCCAGGCAGCTCCTCTGCCCTTTATCTCCAGTTACAAAAGCAGCGCCAGGTTTTCTCATCAGCCGCAGCCATGTCTCCAAATGGCTTTTCAGTGTCAGGCCCATCAGGAAATTAACTCATCAAGCAGTGACAGCTGCTAATTTTTCCCCTTCCATGTCAGATGGATCGCCTGCTGAAGCTAATCATGAATCACCCATCCCTGATTAGAAGGTGCTTCCGACGCGTCTAGCTGCCACCCCAGCTAACTTTTCCTCCATGTAAGATGATGTCACCCTGGAGGAGCAGAAAGGAACTGTGTTCTCCAACATGACGGCGCGAGAGCACCCTCTTCACTTGCCTTGTGCCCTCTTACACTGTGGGCTGATGCTACAGCGGGAGGAGAGGCAGTGCTCCCTGCCCTGCTACGTCAATGGCCTTTCCTGCCCCCAGCTCTCTTCCTAGGGCCAACTCCAGGTGAAGGTCTTAGGTCCTCAAGTCTCCACTTAGGCCATAGTATTATGATTGGTTTTTCCTCCAAGAGGTAAGTGTGTTGGAGCTGGGAGGTGCAGGTGCTCTGTAGTGGGATGTAGGCTCAGGCTCCTCACAGAGAAGTGCTGGCTGGGACTTCTGGGCCTTTGGTCGTGGCTGTGGTCCAAGTGGAGACGGAGCTACTGTGGACCAAGCTTCGCCCTCCATCGTCTAACACTTTGTCCTTTTGCCTTCCGTCTGACGCTTCTAGTCTTTTGATGGCCTCCTTAAAAAAAAATCCCCCTTTATCAAGAAGGCTGCTAACTGGTCAGGATTCCACTAAGGGATCTGGTGGGGCCAGACATCTTGCTGGGTCTTCACCCTCCACCCACCTCAAGCGGCAATGCCGTCTGGTCAGCACAGCCTGAGTCCCCCAATGTCAGACTGCTCGTGTTACAAATTTTTCATCCTCGTGCCCATCCCAGCTCTCTCTGAGCTTCAGAACTGAGCTCAACTAGATCCCGAGCTTTCTTCTTGCCTAGAAGTATCTTGGATCATCCGTGACTGCTATCTGGCTCTGGTTTTCATACAATTTCAGCGGGTTAAGTGCAGGATTCCCAAAGCCACATGGATCTGGTCTTTGTACACATACTTCACAGGGAACCATGAACGCCTCATTCTCTGCATCAGGCTGTTTGGTTTACTTTGTGGCAAGGATGTTTAGCAGTGACTACTGCAGCAACTTTCAGGGAGGGCTGTGGCCTCTCACAAGGACCATGTGAGTCAAGTCACAGCACCACACTAAGATGACCTTGTAAGAGAGGAAGTTCTGTCTAAAAATGGTCATCTTGCTCTTAGACCCCCAGCCCACCGTCAAGCCCTGCTCAACTCTGAGCATGGAAGTTGAAATCTAAAGCACATATATATGGTTAAACCACACACACACACACACACACACACACACACACACACACACACACACACA